TTCTGGCACCAACAATCATGCCACGTTCAAAGTCACTCAAATCAACTTTCTTCCCCATACTGATGCTCGGTTTGAACTGCAGGAGATTGTCTTGACCATGTCTACATGCCTAAATGCACTGAGTTGCCGCCATGTGATTGGCTGCTTAGAAATGAAGTGTTAACGAGCAGTTGGACAGGTGTACCTAATAAAGTGGCCGGTGAGTGTATATTATATATAAGACACTTTAAGTAAAATGTTTGCATATGTTTTTTAATATAAAAATATTTACAGTTTTTTTCGATTGCTAAACGACAGTGAGCACAACTGGAGCTACATGTGCAAAACTCTAACTCCAGTCTGCACAGCAGCAGTTCATGTGGACCAAACTCTAGTTCGTTTTTCAGTGCTTGAACACAGTTTTCAAAACTCTACACACTCATCCCATGACTTTAACCACAACCTGCACAACACTGTGGATTTACAGCACTTTGTTCAAATGCTAACACACTGCTGTCAAAACTGTGAACCACACATTCAAAACAGAATAGATTTCAGCCTTGTGCCTTTGAAACACTGCTGAGTGCAATTTCAGCTGAAAGGCTCAATTATTTGTTCGAATTACAGGATGTACTTTTAGTTTCTACCTTTTTTTTCTCATTACTGTAATTCCATAAATTACTACAGACTATTGAAGCAAACTGCTAATTTTCCTTAAAGAATTGTTATGTTCTAAAAATGTAAATAAATCATGTGAAAGAATGTCACTCTTTTCTTTGAAGAAAATATTACTTTGTATGAAGTCACTGAAATTGTTCAAACTGTAAAGATGAAAAGTTAGTATTTTCTGTTTTGGTGTTTGATGCTAGTGTTTTTCCTCTCAGTGTGTTCTGAGTGACAGTGTGTGTTATCTCAGTGAGGGTTGTGCAGTCTGTGTTATCTCAGTGAGGATTGTGCAGTGTGTGTTCTCTCAGTGAGGGTTGTGCAGTGTGTGTTATCTCAGTGAGGGTTGTGTAGTGTTTTTCCTCTCACAGGGAGGGGCTTACCCTGCAAATTTCAAAATAAATTATGAAATTTATTTCATAAATTCATGACTCATACTACTACCTCAGAATTTTCTGCACAGATTTTTTGGGGAAATCTGACTTTTGTCAGGGTAGGTGCCATATTGAATTTCACACATGAAAACTAGGCTGTGAGAGATAGACTTACATTCTTTTGAATGGCATGCACTTTATTTTTCACAGTCGTTCTCAGTTTAGTTTTTCTTGGGGTGCTTCTCTAACGGAAGGCTACATCCAAAGCCTGCATATCTCGGCTGCCACGTCATCAAGTGTCGCTGAAGGCCATTTCAATTTGAAGGATCCTTGTAAGGCAGCCTTCCTTTCGAGCCCTTCTTTCGGCCTGTTTAGAAGGACGCATCGGATGTGTCCTTCGCGGCCTTAAATCACCCACAATCCTTTGCACACATTTAAATTCACGAAAATAAACTGATGGAAAACGAGTCGGTATACTGAGCTCATCTGAGTTTATTATGAAATTTAATACAACAATAATGTTTTCAGACATGAAAGCATAGATGTTATCTTTTGTTTTGCAGTAAATTAATCACTAACACTGCCAATAATGTAAGCCAGTGGGAGACTGCAGACAGCTGACATTCACTGTATTGCATTAATAGAAAGGCAGTATGAAGATTAGTAATACAAAGTATTTTTCCAAAATTAAGTTTTAATAGTATTTTTGTAAAGTGAGCGCGGGGGCTGGAACGTGTGACGTAGCATGCACACTTCTAGACCGTCTCATCGTGGCTTTTAATGCTGAGTGAGGAGGACTCTATAGCCTTCAAGCCTCAGAAGGACTGAACTAGGAAAGACAAAGCCTCAATTCAGCCTTCCATTTGAGAAGCACCCATTATAAAATGCCAAAAAGTTATTAAAATGAAACAGAAAAAGCGTCAAATCTTGATTATGAAGTAATGAAGAACCAATCAAATTGTAGGGAAATTATGTAATGTATCATGTCATTTTGCCATACCCCTATTCTATAAAAACGGTTGTATTCCTGTTTACTGGTGGGATTCTTAATGGAAATTGTCTGAGATCCACCGGCCTTGCTTCTTCTTGGGAGAGTTTCTCTGAGAACTGCTCGAAAACTCTCCCGGCCGTAAGTAAAGCGTTTAGAGGACATTTGCTGAGGTCCGTAAGTTATTACTGCTGCGCAGCAGCTCAGTTTAGGGAAGCAAATAAGTTAGTTAGCAAGTAAACAAGAAAACTAGTAAATTAGAATTATAGGATTAGACGGATGCTGTAGTCGACTGGAGACTCGCTGAAGTGTGAACTTAGCTAACGTCAATGTATAGGCGCGCTAGAGTATAAGTATTATAGGTATTAGGTTTAAGGAAAAAATCTACGACAATGCAAAGGGCTTTGAGTTTCTCTTCAGCCTCAGATTCTGTATTGCCATATTCATGATGACTTAAGAAAAAAATTCTCCCCATCATACCCTTCTAGCAATTGATTGTTATTTGGGATGAAGAACCAACCGCCTTCGGTGTCTGACTGAATGATATAGATAGAAATAAAAATGTCAACTTCTGAAGAAAAGTCAATATCAATTGCGTCTGCCAAATGCATGCCTGCAAAATCATTTCGAGCTTTGGGCCTGTCTGACCACAGCTGTCCAGAAGCTGTAGTTAATCTTCACACCGCCTTTTGTCGACATCTCTGTTATTCTGTTTAATCATATTGCAAAAAAAAAAAAAAAAATGATTAGATTAGATTTACCTTTGGACTTTGAGTCAGATTCTTCTTCGTGGCTAGTCTGGCATGACCTGACTGAGATTGAATATTCAAGTATTTGCGAGTGGGAGAGCCAGCATTTGCCTCTGAGTCATGCACACTTGTGTCTCCAGACATTCAAGGAGGCCAGAAGGATTGCACTATGTGCATCTTGTGTCTTTCTGTGAAATGAAGCGAAAATGTGAGGGTGACACATTTTTCAGTAATCCTCAAAGGACTCCTACACAAGTGGCAGTTTCTGGGTTTGAAGTCAGTAAGCTGAAAATTGAGATAAATGCTAACAAACGACCATAACCAAAAAAGTTTATATCATCGCAGTCTCCCATATTGTACTTTTTGAAATACAGGATTACGGTCAGAGAAACAGTCTTTTTTTAAACATTCCAAGGAATATAAGACTCTTTCTTTCTTCAAAGTGGACAGTTTTCAGCCAATTCCAATATTCTGGAGACTTTAATTATCAATCTGTAATGTATTTCTGTTAAAATCAGGCTGATTATTATCATCACAAATAATATTATTAACATTACACATATTTATGTAAAAAAAAAAAAATCTAGATATAACTAAAAGTCTCTTATGCTCACCAAGGCTACATTTATTTGATGTAAAATACAGTGACATATTATTACGATTTTCTATTTTCAATATTTTATTTTGGCCAAGCTGAATTTTCAGCAACATTACTCCAGTCTTCAGTATCACATGATCCTTCAGAAATCATTCTAATATGATTTGGTGCTCAATGTTATCAATGTTGAAAACAGTTGTACTGCTTAATTTGTTTTGTGTAAAAGCTGTGATTTTTTTTTTGTTTTTAGGATTCTTTGATGAATAAAAAGTTAAAAAAGAACAGCATTTAATTGAAATATAATCTTTTTGTAACATTATACATTTATTTAATGTCACTTTTGACCAATTTGATGCATCCTTGCAGAAAAAAAGTAATTTATTTCCACAAAAAAAATTTTTGGAACAGCAGTGCAGCTTTCTTATAAATGGGTAACGATTGTAAATATTTAAGCATGTTTTGGCTCTGCCCTCTAGTGGTAAATGGCTATTTAAACAAACAACTTCCCACTTATATATAGAATCAAAACACAAACAAGTCACTTATTATTACAAATTTTATTTATGGATAAATAGGGTATATAATCCCCTTAAATTTGAACAATATCTTGTCTGTGAACAAATTTTAAGAAAGGAAAGTCATCACCCATATTTCCAAAAATCTCACTGTGGATTAAACAATAAACTCTAATTAACTAATTAAACTAATTAACCTGTCATGCTACATTATTTACATCCTTACTATATATTGCAGTGCATAACCTTCGTCTACCTAAAAAACAGATCTGTGCACAATCAAAGATCAAGCTCATTATGCCGCATTCACATGCGACTCAAAAATAACAACCCTTACTTTGGTCACACCCTGACTTAAATTGACAGGTAACAGGAACCGTTCGAGCATCTCTGAAGTCAGAATAACTGATTCGATCAATACACCTATACAACTGCAAGAGAAAACCACACACACTGTCAACCTGAGACCTCAGGCACATGAGAAATCAAGGAGAACAACCATCTTCAGACCACAGGAGGATAAATAATGTGCTCAACTGGAACACACTTCTTATGATTTGGCATCGCCCCAGAAAAGCAGCTGGATAAAATATGAGCACTCAAAATATCCAAGCAAGATTTGCACCTAGAAGACAAACTCAATCATTTCCAATGTATAAACTGAGTGAAGGTGAGAACAGGGAACTAAAGATCTGACTCACTTCATGTTCTGCCATGCACCGGGAGCACAACAAGGTAAAGTGAGGACAAGACAAAACACAGCGAGACTAAAGAGCCAGCCCTGTCACTTCTTCTGTTTACAGAGGTAGAGTTCTCCTGTCAAACTTGTTTACACCAATGCGAGAGTTATATTCCGGAGTTATCGATCAAAGAGACTGAAGCTGTAGATTTCAGGGAAATGCAATTGCCTTATTCTCAGTATAAGTATTCATTTACAACACGTGTATTGAAACTTTTTTTTTTTTTTTTGTCTTTCTAAAGCCGGATGAAACAGCGGAACCCCTGAAAGAATGCTAAACAACCTTGATAGTGTCATTGCAACTGTCATAAATAAATAATAATATTTTTTTAAAAATTGCATTTGCCATTTGTGGCACGGTTATCCCAGAGTAGGCAGGTCTGTGACTGTGAACGTAAGCTTTTAGTCTGTCCGTTTATTAGCATCCGTGTGTATGTGGGCATTTGTTTTCGGCATGGATGTATTCAAATGTGTGTCTGTGAATCTGAGCATAGTGTGTTGTTGCCTCCTGTTGCCAGGCAATAATCAGGTGTTTGTGTGTGTGTGCATGAGCACTAGTCCACTCCAAGGGCTTTGAGCTGTCTCTCAATCTCCGCATCTGATATCCCATCTGCTTTGGATGTGGCGGCACTTGGTTGCTTTCGGCCAGCTGAAGGGGCATGAGCCATCTGCAGGGGAAACAAAAAAATCCATTATGGATCAAAAACAATGTGATGGATAGTGCTGCTGCAATCGAAAACTCAATAATCACTTCACTGCGTAGGCCGTAGGGTACAGAAAAACAATATTTAATAATTCTCTATGGCTCTCAGTTTCTAAAATAAAATGTGTTAATTCTTTCACACAGAAATTATGATTCATTAATAAGTTGACACTTAAAGTGCCCCATTATGCTTTTTCGGATATTACCTCTCATGTAGTGATCAGTATCGGCCTTTGCTATGTTTCACGTGTTCTGTTCCTCGCAACAGAAGGAGCTACCGCTTAGGCTCGAAAAAGTGCCCCGCCGCACACACACCAGGGCCGGAAATTAACGGGGGCTTTAGGACAAATATGCTATCCAAAATTGATTTTAAAAAATACCCCCAAATCCATGACATGGTGCAAAAAATGACTCTTGTTTTTAATATTTATAAGCAATACCACATGAGCAAGAGTGCAGTTTTCCTGAATATCAGCACATTTGCAAATGTGATATTGATTTTAGTTCAATAAACAAGAAGTTAAAATTAGGAGACTTACATTTTAGACTCAGAATATTGTTTTTGCTCTATTTAGCTAACGAAAATAGCACATTTCAAAATTGCGAAATTGTACATCTCTGAGCAACACAATCGGTGTGTCCCAATTCGCATATATTTGAAAATAGAATTAGTACATCCCAAATCGTTACTCATCGTATGTTGAAATGAGTATTCCAAAGATACCCGGATGGTCTACTATTTCCGGTCAGAATCCGAAGTGCAGATCGATGCACACTCTAACAGCTAATATTGCCCACAACCCATCGCGCGTTGGACGAGGATTAGAACCACAAACACACGTAAAAAGTGTTAAAGAACTACAGACATGGAGGATGCGCGAGTCCGGCGGTAATGTAGAGTTTTAGATAAAGGGGTTTGAGTGATTAATTATCAGTATCTAACCTGACGAAAATGTATTTATTCAATGTTGTCCACATTATATTTCTTCGGCAGCAGCATTGTGAACTTTTGTAAAGATATGTTTAGCCATTAACTTTAAAATGCATCATTATATTCAAATTGCAAACACATTGGGAGAGTCTCCGCATGGAAGGCCCACGACTGGCAGATCATTGTGCTACAACATTTCTCTCCGAAACTAAATTAGATTGAATGGAGGATTTTAAAGATGACGAAGTAGTATGTCCCGAAGCTTACCTACTCTTTTGCTACACACTCAAAAGTATGTACTTTTTCCTTCACAAAAAGAGTACTTTTAGGGCGTAGTATAAGTAGGCAAATTGGGACGGAGCAAATTATGTTTTGTTACTGAATGTATCTGGGGCTTTGTATGAATCAGTCTAATAAATGACTGAACGACTCATAAAGGCAGGTGCGTCCCAATTTGCGTACTATACATTTATGTATAATAATTAACTTTTTACATGTAATTAGTTAAATTAAATACATAATTAAATAGTTAAAATAATTTTTGCTATGGTACTGAATGTGAGACCAAGATCTGTGAAATGTAACTGGTGTAGTGTTACAAATTTATTAAATGTTTAATTAGGTTCCAATACAATAGTATTTAAACTTTACAGTGTTTTCCATTTTGAGGCATAGATGATGAGATTTAAAGAGCAATCCTGCTTGCTGACATTAACCTTTTGTCACTTCTCAAAGTACAGCTGGGCCTTTTGTCTCTATAGCCCCTTTCACACAGCGCGTTGATCCCGGGAAATTGCCGGGAAATTGCCAGAACGCCTTCTGTGTGAACGCAAACATGACCCGGGATTGATGCCGGGATCGAAGCCGGGTTGGGGACCTAGTAACATTGCCGGGATCAGTCCCGGAACGCGCGCTGTGTGAACAAAAGCCGTAACCAATGCCGTGTCGTAATGATGACGCTGAAGTGAAGTGAAAGCAGGCTAGTGAAACGGTACGTATTGCGCTAGTTTATGATCGAATCAGAGAAAAAAAATGCACAAGCGTGGTTTCTCCAGAGAGAAATCGCAGCTCATAAGCAAACTATACACGCTGCTGAGACATTACATGTCACATCGATGTCACGTGTCTTTACGGGATTTTTACGGGTTGTATGTGAACGCACTCTCTGATTCCGGCAAATCACTGGCAGTGTGAATGAACCAAAATCAAACGAACCCGGGTCAAATCCCGGGTCGCTTTATCTGTGTATTTTCCGGAATCTCTGTGTGAAAGGGGCTTATGATAATGTTAAGGTTTGAGTGATCTAATCAGGCTGATTGGATCACCATCTATACATGACACTGTTATGCTGATGAGATCAGGACTGGGGAATTCCCAGTAACGAGCTGAATCCTGTGCTTCATATACATGCTTTGTTTCAGAGTGTCTCCACCTTTATGTAATTGATCCCACCCAGTTGAAATGTATATAAACTACAACAATGTAAGATTCCCTTAGTTTAGACTTGACGATGAGTGCAGCTACCCACAGCTTGTGTTCTCAATAAAGAATCCTGCTGAAGATACCACCAAGTCTCCTGGTCTTCGCTTCTGAGTTCCCTACACTTTAGAAGAAAAAAGTTCACAACACTGGCATTGGTACCATCTACTTAAATTTTGGTATCATGACAACACTACTAAAGTATTTTAGAGTAAAAATGTAGCGTAGTCTAAGCTGTTTATGGGCACTTTTCACATTTCTGGAGTTCACAGAAGCAGAAGTTGTCATAGATGTCATAGACTTCAATAGTGATAATTGGGATATTACAGCAAATATGTTTACTCAAAGATCTTGTTGCATGTGCTCTCAGGCGAGAGTGCAGAACATAAGATACTTTTTGAAAGAGTGATGAATGGATGTACAGGTGATGTGTGCGGAATGCCCTGGACATATGAGTGTGTTTTTTTCTTCTTTTTTCTTGCACATTTAAGAGGAAATATAGCAAATCTATGCATGTACACAACAGGGTAATTTTACATGAAAAACTTATCTTGAAGAACTTTCACACAAAGAATACTTGTACACAATTATTATCAAATAAAACCCACTGTGATGTGGTCAAAATTCTCTACTGGCATTTGTAATTAGGGCTTTTATAGTTACATGAGCATTAGGGCTGCCTGATACAAATGAAAAACATAATGTGTGATAAACTAGTTGGATTATTTGATAGCTCCTGTTTTAAGATAAATATATCCTGTTCTTTCTAGTTAAAGAAAACATAGTACAAGATTTGCTGTTTAATCTGATATAAGTGACATTCTGCATAAAGTCTGATTCAGGATTACTGTAAGTCAAATACAAAAACCTAAAAAAGGCTTAATGTATAGGGTTCAATTATTTATATGCTATATGTAATGTAGAACATCAAGACCAACAAATTATGGGAGGCTCAGCACTTTGACTCCATTTTCCACATGTAATCTTTTCTCATATTGCTTCTCTTTATATATAGTTACATATCTTTGTAAAAAAGAAAAAAAGAAAACAGGCCTAAAGCTTAAATAGAACAAACTTGAACCAATGGAGTGCTGCTTTAATGCTGTTTAGGAAGAGGGGAAGAGCTAACCATGCTTGCAGTCTTTTCTATAGATTGCCGTGCTTAGACAGACTGAATAGGTTTGTCATATTTCTTCTCTGAATAGCAACTGTGGTCTACAGGTTTTATTATAACCACTTCTGACTGAGCGTGGTCATCAAATGTAAAGCCAAAATACTACCACACAACCAAGGTGCTTCCTCATTTTTACCTTGTTTGAATGAAAAAAAACATTTGTAAATTCAGTTATAGATTCTCTGCATCACACTATCATCATTGCTGCTTGGTTGTTGCATATAACACATATATGAATAATCATTAAAGTTTTTTTTAAATCCAATATATTATGCAGCCCTAATGGACACAAATGGATTTTAACACTAATGCACAACAGTAATAAGACAGTTTATTGAATCAGTACCTCAACATGATTTGACTGATGCCAGTATAACATTTCACTTCTTACCTTTCCTGAGATCTCAATTCCAATTTCGTCCAACACCTGACTCACAATGTCGTGAGATTCTTCCTCATCATCAGAATCATCAAAGATCTCATCCAGAGTGTCGTTCACTGTAAACAGACACAAACACAGAAACAAAGTCTACAATCAATCCTTCCTGAAAAAAATTCTAGAACATTATTTTTCAAAACCCTCTCACAAAAACAACCACAATAACAAATAAATAAACAAATGAAAACACATCTTACTCATCTCTTCTGTCATGTCCATTTTTGCTGTTTCTTTCTGGAAGTTCTGCAGGGTCTGCATGGTCTTCTGTGGATCCATCTTTTTGTTGACAGCTTGCATTGTCTTTAAGTTGTTTTGAGAGAGGCAGAGACACAAACAACTGAGTCACTCTTTGATTCATGTCCATTTTAAAATGTGCACTTTAGGCTACTTATGCAATTATGCAAAGGATGATGGCTGTGTATCAACACTGTGCCAATTCTGCATTTATAGACCAACATGTAGGCCCAAATTAGTACACATACTAATAAAACCAAAACAATTTACCTACAGGGTTAATAGAGTTGTTAAGTCGTGCACAACGTCAATTTGCAGCCCTAGCTGGAAGAAAATTAGCATTTTGAGGCCATGAGTTCCCTTGGGAATTTATAATGGGGGTTTTGAATAGTGGTTTTCCATTTGTGTAAAACAAGGTTAATATTACTTTAATATCCTTTCACATTAAAGAGACTGTATTGAATAAAATAGCAACGTTGCTCCCAGTAATATTTACCACAATCCTTATTTTACTCATAAATCCAAAGCCATAATTCAAAAAACCCATTTGAAATTCCAGGGGGAAGCCATGGCTCTAAAATGCCTATTCTCTTTGGATTTTAGAAATACAAAATGAGCAGCCCTATTTACTTAAATGTGAAGTCAGAGTGGATCTGAATTGTCTAAATTGATTGAAGATAAAATTCCTGGGGTTTAGAACAGACTTTTATAAAAGTTATCATGAGGATCTTACTTTGGTGGTTGTGGCCATGGCACCAGCCATCTTCATCTGGGAGTTCATAAGCTTGGTTTGTGTGGACATGGAGGTGACCTTAGAGCTGACAGCATACGTACGCGTTTTCTGTTTCCTCACTTGCACAAGCTGCTTGGCTAAAACTGTACAGGCCTCTCTGTTCCCTGTTTTAGCCATTTTCTTGATTTCCATCTCCTGTGATGAAAACAAATAGTAGGAAGCGGTTAGGGATGGATGGCATTATAATTGCATTACAGTTCTCAGTTAAGCTAGAATAAGGCTTAGAGGTGACAGCATAATAATTAGATAAAGAAGAAGAATAAGGCTCAATCCCAATTCACCCCTTGTTTTCGAGTGTACCCCTTGGCCATTACAACAGAGTTACAAGGGCCAAGGGGTTGAAATATTCCCCTACGAAATGGAACAACCCTTCATGAACCCGATACGTCATCAGTCGAGGGCGATGGCTCTGCCGTTACGGAGTTTTTACAGGATTTCTCCAGGACAACGACTGACAATCAGCGCAGCTGCTCTTAACTTTGAGGAAACATGATGATTATAACATTCCTTCCTCGAAATGTATGTCTTTTCTGATTCGGAAAGGTAATTTATTTTACAATTTCTTGATTTAAATGACTATATTATTATTATAAGAGTAAATAAAGTGCATGGTGGTGTCATCTGGCGCTAAATTTTAATGTTTAACTGTTTGTGAAGCCATCTCGCCGGTGATTTGCGATGCATTCTGTGAAATTTCTCGTAGCCCTCCGTTTGGAGTGTGCCTCTGAAAAATCTCAGTTTCGAGGGCTATGTAGCCCTACCCCTCGATCTCAACAAGAATCGGGACACCCCACCCCTAGACGTGAACGCGCAAAACAGAGGGGTAGGGCCAAGGGGTAGGGGCAAGGGGTGAACTGGGATTGAGCCAAAAAGTTTATTTGTATTACACCTTTAATACATAAAATGCAGATATTTTGTACATTTGTGTAAGAAGCCACAGACAAAAAAGACTAATTCTTGCAAAAAAAACAAAAACAACAACTACAAAAAAGACTGTAAAAAGGCTAATGTAAAAACTACTTTATTGCATTATTTTAGTGTCATACGCATTACCCTGATGGTGTTTTTTGTGTGTGTGTATGACCCTGTCTATATATGGGTATTGGCCATGTTTTAAGGCCACAACCACTTTCGATGAACTCTATTCAACATGTGGATTTATATTTTACCACCTGTATTATTATAATGGCTATCAGTAGTACTTTTAAAGGTGAAAAGCAAATTAGATTCTGGTAGTTCAAGTAGATTGGTATATTATATCATTAATGAATTATACGGTTATGAGTTCCAAAATATACAGGCACCAATATACCATTCTGTAATACCTGAAACACTGTAACAGAACTTTGTAACGGTGAATTTCTGGCAACCCAAGCTACTGTTTTTTAAAGTTTACACTGGTTTTAAAATATAGCTATTGATGTCTGACAGACAGCTATAATAAAAGTATAAAAGGTTCCACCAGCAACTTCTTTAAAAGTTTCACCGGCAATGGCACAAACAGCCCGTATCTCAAGTTGAAACAGAATCATGAGCTGTTAGTCATAATCTATTGACACACTAAGGCCCTCAGTGACATTAATGACATAACCTCGTGATCTCATACACATCAGTGCTGAGAAAGGGGAACTTTTGGCATCATATTCACGTCACATTGATGGGTGGAGATTCTCACCAGTTGTTTTTCCTGTCTTTCCAGTGCTGTCCGGTCTCTTGTAATCTGTCTCTGCGTTCCCCGCAGCTCTTTGTTCTGTTCTTTAATAACATCTGTAGTATGATAGGAGACACAGTTATCGATTCCTATTTAAATTATTAATGCTGAAATTTCTGAGTCAGTTATAACAAAATACACATTTAAAGGTAGCCTACTACTTTAATAACAAGTCATTTTAGAACCCTTAACGATACAGTAGTGGCCCGGTGATTTCATTAACTATTCGTTTTTTCTACCATCTTTAACCCGATACTGTTAAGTATGACCAGACTCAAGTCAGATCAATAACGTTAGAATTTTAATAAGTTTTCAGTGGCAGCTCCACAGCTCCAGACACTTCTGTGTTATATAGCACTGTGGACATGCCACAAAAAGCCCCCAAATCAGGTTAAATGTATTTAACACATTTACACTCAGTAACGAAACCAGCCGATGATTGACGTGCGAGTGTTGCTGGGCGGCTTTCACAAACAAACAAGCCCTTAGAGCAGCAGCAAAAAAACTTACCATCTACGGTCTTTTTCTTGAATAACGATGCCATAACTGCGACAAACTCCGTCGGCCACGAAACTAATAGAAAAGTAAGTATTTCACAATGACCAATATCAACTGAGAGTCACCTATCAAAATATCATGACTATTTCCTGGTTCTTGGCAAGTAGGCGGAAAACTTGAGCTCCTCTGCAGAGATTATTTAATTTTGATTGGTGGACATTGCCGTGACGTTACATTCAAGTCATCCAATCGTAACATCATCTTGGAAAGCACCGCCCACAGATCTTGTTCTGCAAAACACAGAGGTCTCCATTGTCGGTCTCATAAACAAAATACGGGTTGGAATTTGTTCCTTTTCCTTTTGAAACTTAGTACAGGGCAGGCCAGGGGTTTTCAGACTGCGGTCCACAAGGGAGTGCTGGTGGTCCGTGGAAATGTGTAGAGGAAAACAGTGTAAAAAATAAAATACATTGACTTATCAAAATCATTTGAATATTAATTAAAATAATAGTTATGTATGCTTTAATTATTCATAAAAAAATTATATTGAAATAAATTATATTAAAATAAATAAAAAATGATTAACACACGTAAATAATAAATTAGATTTCATAAAGAAATAATAAAAAAATATTATAATAAATAACGGTACAATACAATAGTGAGTAGGAAAACAACTTAATAATGTAGCTTGATAGAAGCGGAATATTTTCCAAATAATATTTGACAAATATTCATGTGAATAATATTATACTATTCTACGTTAAAAACGATATATCTGCCGAATAAATTGTTCCTCGCATGAGGATGATGAGGATGGTTCGTGAAAGACTGAAAACCCCTGTTCTAGTACATTTGAACAGATTTTTTCATATTTATTACGACTGAGGGCAGCCAATCATAGCGCAAGGATTTGACGCATGCGCAGCCAATCATAGCGCAAGGATTTGACGCATGCGCAGCCACTCATAGCGGCGCGCAAGGATTTGACGCATGCTCGTGTGAATCCGACTCTGGTCGGTAGCTGTTCGTATATCTTCGTACGCCGTTCGTTATGTTCCGCCTACACCTCGGATCTTGTCGATAGTGAATTAGGGCTGTATTTCGTCCCCCTCGATCTCTGTGTTGTTGTCCTCGGTGACGCGACGGAGGTGTAGCCTGACGCGGTCTCTTACGTGTCGGACTAAATAAAAGTGGAGCTCCGGAGGCCTGGGAGTGACGAGGCGAGTCTGTGTCGGGTAAGAAGAGACGCATTCGTGGGGGAAAGAGATAATGCACTTGCTGTTTTAGTGGACATGTCGCAATGCTCGATCCGTGTGTAACAAAGAGATCATGGCGGCGGTGGGCATGTTTCTCAATAGCTCAGACTTGCTTGCAGACAATGAGTCAGTCAGGCAGTCGAAGGAGGAAAAGCGCGGTGGTTCTACGAAGTACGTGTGTTTATGGAAAGGATAAGGGATGGATAGTGTTATGAATACGATCGCTCGTCCATGGCACATTTTGATGGAAATACAGCACATGAAATGTTTTTTTTTTCTTGACCCCAGCATTGGTTTTTAGAGTAACGTTAGTCGAAGCGTTCCGTGTTCAATGAAAGATCTTTACGGCATTCTCGCCCATGCAAAGGTCTTTCTGTACCACAAAAAAACAATTATCTTATGTGATAAATTGTGGATTGAATTGGTAAATAAAATGAGAGAAAATGTATTCATCTTGAGTATTGTTTCCTTCAAATTACACCATAAAACAGACTGATTTTGTGTTGCATACTTGCTTCATTCAACCTGGAACACTATTACAAGTCGAAACACGCCTAAAAATGCAAGCACTTATATGTATTGTTTTATTTTAAATATCTAAAAATACGCTCACGAAAAAATGAAATTATTTCGCTTGCACCTTTTTTTCTTTATTTTGCTATAATCATAAATCCTTAAAAACCAAAGCGCAAATATGACTGACAGCTGTATACGGAAGTAAAAAAAAAGGCGGCAAATGGAGTCAACTTGGTTTGTTCAGCACGATGATTAAAGACTCAGTTCCAACATTATTACTCATTACAAAACAGGCATGGAATCCTTCAAAGTGTATTTCGTTAATATTTATTATGCATGATCTCATTCATGTGTTAAAGCTTGGTTGCTACATTTGTTTCTATGGATATTACATTCTATTTTTCATGTTATGTAATGTCATATAGTATTTTTGTCATCTGAAATTAAATTTGGACTATATAAATGCAAACATTTCACCCTTTTAGAATGTCAAAAAATATATTTGTTTAAATATATTACATAGTGTTATATTATACATTATTCATTTATTCAATTTATTTTATTGTATTTTATATACATTTGCATTTAATACCTATAAATATGTCTTATTTTATAAGACAACCCTTCAGGCTACACAAATTAATAGTCAAAATAAAACCGACAAACCCACTCTGTGGGCAGATTTTGCGGTCACACCCTTTCAGATTTCACATTTACATCGATAAACATCCCCTTTTCATGGGATTTTGATGACCTGCCCTGTAAATTCATAGTAAATTGTATATCTGTAGTATCCTGTATATTTATCAAAATAAAATATTTTGAATTGCATCTCCAGGCTATCTAAATGACCATGGAGGCAGGAGCAGATGTCCAGCAGGGCGGCGACACTGCAATCTCAGAGACAGACAGTCAGCAGCTGGCCACTTTGGCACAGGCGAGTTTCTAGTATAACATGTTTTCGAAGCTCTTGGAAACACATTTGCTAGCATGGCAAGGCTGATTATAATTGAACAGTTTGAGTAATTATGCTTGTAGATGTGTGTTGATATTTTAATTCAATTCAGTTCTAGCTTAGTTTAGTATCTGTGTCTCACCCTATTGTACCTCCCTGATGCAGGTTTCCATGGCTGCAGCACAGGCATCAGCTACTGGACCCACAGTGACCTTAGTTCAGCTGCCCAATGGGCAAACAGTGCAAGTTCACGGGGTCATCCAGGCAGCCCAGCCCTCCGTCATACAATCCCCACAGGTGCAAACTGTACAAGTAAGCCTGACAAGATGGTTCATTTAAGAGAGAACTGTACAAAAATCTCATTACATAATTCTGTGTGGGCCAGAGGTCGCAAACATTTTCCGTCATTGATTGAAATTTTTTTTTTTAGCAGTGACGGAAAAATCTGAAGGTCGTCCGTCATTTTGGCAGATTACACTGAGGGTGATCTATCTGTAAATGTAAATGTGTCCAGTTGGTGGAGAGTGCGCTCCAGTGTGACTGCAGTGTGCAGGCAGTGCTGCCAGATTGGCCGGATTTGAATTTGATTGTGCGGGTAAAAATTGGTTTGGCAGGTGGACAAAATTTGGCCGGGTTCGGGGTCAGTTTGGCCGTTTTCAAACATTCAAATTGTATAGGCTAGTTGGTTAACAAACAAAACCCAAATGTGCATGTCCTCTATCCAATCAGTCCTCGTGACGTTACTTAACTCACACCCACACGGCAGAGTCAGCTGATTGAGGACGATTGAATCAACGATTAATCGGTTTTGACTGTGCAAAGTTCTGTGTTATGTGCTACTATGTGTACTTCAAGAAAGATGTTCAAGTCTTTTCAACAGTTTCTGTTTGAAGTTAAAGCGCAATACAAAGGTAAGCGCATTATTATTATTGTCGTTCATTTTTTTAACAGCCTTTTCTGCTTTTATGGTGTGTGCAAGGGTTAAAATCTGTTAATTTCCTGACTGCTGTTTGCAAATAGGCTTTTTGACATACTTTTAATAGTTTCTACCTGTTTGGGTAGAAAATTTTTTGTCATATTTGCTAATTTTCTATTACTATATTTACCATGTTTCGATCCGGTTTCCTGTTGTATTGTTGTTCTCCTGGCAGAGAAATTTATGAATTTTTATCATTTTTATTTTGTCATTTATTTTTTAAGGAGGTAAATGGTCCTTATAAACCTTTTTTGTCATGACAGTAGAATTATATCGCATTCTTTTGGCAGTAAATGTTTTGGGCGGGATTTGGAGAGCTTTTGGGCTGGAAATTGTTGATCCAATCTGGCAACACGGAGCATGGGTTCAGCCTCCAGGACAAAAATTAAAACTGCCACGAGAAGTAGTCTATCCGAGGCAAATACGCAAAATCTAATGACAATTCTGCATGGGTCTCCCTTGATGCGTTCAATTGCGCACTGACGAGCATCCAGTTTAACCCTTCCTGTCATGTGTGAAAGAAAAAGAGGAAAAGGGTTAAGTCAATGTGGACCTGGAGGAAGATTTGAGTTTAGGCAGATACAGAGTGTTGATTGAGTTTAGTTCAGTTCGTTTTTTTGTATTTTTAATATATCGCGTTGTTCATATAGGCCATTTCAGGCACCAAAGCTCATTGTCACTGCAGGGAATAAAAAATCTGCTTTGCACAGTCTCTGTTCATCTGTTCTCTTCCTAAATACATAAATGCATAATCTTGCCCTTATGCTCGTCCTGTAAGTTCATGATTAAAAGTGAAAATGTAAATGATAACAAAAGCTATTAAAAGTCTTATTTTCGATAAAATATGAAAATTAAAATGAATGGTAAATTAAAATGAATGGTAATAATAGATCATTACGGAAATTTTACGACTCTGTCCGTCAAAATGATGGACAATTGAGAAAGTCTAACGCGACCTCTGGTATGAGCTGTCCTTGCAGACTCAATATTGTATGCAGGTAGCAGCACATAGGATTAAATAACCTTAATTCAATATTTATACTCTGTTGTAGGGGTGGACAATATGAGCAAAAATTCATATCACGATATTTTTCACTGTCCGGACGATATCGATATTATATTGCGATATGAGAAAAAAAAAATTAGAATCACATTTTAGTACACCTTAGTTAAATTACAGGCAAAATATGTATTCTAACCATATTACTAGAAAAAGGTGAGGGATTTAATTGGACATAGACCTGAAAAATCTTTTTTTATTGTGCCATTGTTTTTCTCAAAAAGTGCAAACGTGCAACATGAGGTAGGCCTGAATTCACTAGTTATCTCTTTCCACTTTTTATTTTGCGGGGGTCAAATAATTCCTTCGTTAATAAATCGTAAGATGAGTAACACTGGAGTTTGGTTTATTGAATACGTTATAATCAATAAATATGAAATAGTGTGATTTCAGAGAGGTTTGACACTTAGGCCTAATTGAAGACAACATTATGTTAACCGAGAAGTTTTTGTATACTGACCAAAAGAGAGAAGTAGGCTACATCCTGCTAATTCAGTGGTGAGAATTTAATTGTTGTTTTTATATATATCGTTGTCCATTTATCGAACTTACAATAGTAATTATATATTACTATGTATCAATTTACTAATGCTCGGACACACGCGGTCTCTCTCGCTGTCGATCGCGGAGTTCGCTTCACTTTTATCCCGTCCGGCGCCTCATAGACAGACGCTGTGTGTGTGTGCGTGTGCGAGAGGCGCGTGTGTGACAAGACGGAGTGACACACTGTCACAATGACAGAGAACACATACACTGCGTGTTTTAAATAGCGTAAAAAAATAATAATAATAACGAAACGCATTATGTGGCGGCCGGTGTTGATTCTGTGGCGCACCGCCACGAATTAGTCTGTGTGTGGTGGGAAACACTGGGCTGTTACCATGCTCTCAGTGTTTGATTATTAATGCCTGTGCATCATGCGAGTTGGACACAAGAGGAAAAGGTTAAGTTCAGCCTCGATTTTGTATCGTCATTAGTAGTGTTATTTTAACGTTGTAAAGAGTACCAAATCGAACAAAACAATATACAAAATTTGAATTTATAAAAATATCTAACGGTATCAGGGATGGAAATTAACTTTTTTGTCCACCGGCCACTGTGGCTGGTGGATTTCAAAATCTACCAGCCACTCAATGTTTTTACCAGCCACTTTCTTGTTTTTAACCGACAATGTGTAACTGCATGTGAAAATTAATACTACAAGAATACTTAAGCAGTTTATTTAATCTCAAGTCTCAATGAAATACTGACATTTTCTCTTTCTCTCACCCTCGGCCTCATCCACCTAATCTGTCATTTATTTTTGTTTTGATGATAAATTGAGCCAGCCTCCAAAAGTAATTAACCTGTCCTGTGATTTTTTTTCTCTCTCACACAACACTCTCCAGACACGGATTTATGAGCTATAGTATGTTGGTTGCCTTTACATTAGAATAATATTTAATATAATCTAGATATGAAATGGAATAAATAGCATTCAATACAAAATGAATATGTCTCATATATTGAAATAAAGTTTTATTTGATAAAATATTTGCTTTGTTGTGCATTAGAACCACATCAGGCATTTAGTACAAAATAATTTATTGAAGCATCCAGATACTTCACCACGTGACAGCAGCTAGGCTCCTGATTGGTTAACGCGGCGCGAATTGACGCTAAAGTTCAGATTTTTCAACTCGGGCGGCAGATGCGAATTCGCGTCAAACGCGTGAATGCACAAAAGCACTCAATAAAATCATGCGCGCGGAACGCGTCAGACGCTCGAACTTGCCGCGCGAATGAGGCGTATTCGCATCTACCACGGCGCGCTCTACACCTCATTCGCGCCGCAGGAATTTTTTACGCGCGTAACGCGTCTTTGCATTGACTTAAGAATGAAATCACTCGCGCCAGACGCTCTATTCTCGTCTGGTGTGAACGCACCATGATGTTTTCTCTGCAGACCTCTACGCCTGCGATGTAACGCCACATTTTGTTTGAAGGTGTGCCTCCTCTAAAAGTGTCCGCCGTCCGGGTGAAACAGTATGCTATTTTTATTTACCCGCCACGGTGGCCGGTAGGTGAAGCGAGTTTACCCGCCACAACTCAAAATCACCCGCATTTGGCTGGTGGCGGGTGCTAATTTCCATCCCTGCCCGCCACGGTGGCCGGTAGGTGAAGCGAGTTTACCCGCCACAACTCAAAATCACCCGCATTTGGCTGGTGGCGGGTGCTAATTTCCATCCCTGAACGGTATTCTCGGTATCGCAAAATCCATATCATGGTACAACATAATACCGGTAGTCACGTTCATACCGGTATAGCGCCCACCCCTACTCTGTTGTTTGTTAATCTAGAAGACTTGATAGTTTAGAAATAATAACTTTTGTAGGGGATGAAGGGTCTTCAGTATTTATGGGTTCCTGTTTTGTCTCGTTTTAGATTTCTACCATTGCTGAGAGTGATGATTCTCAGGAGTCAGTGGACAGTGTGACAGATTGCCAGAAAAGGAGAGAGATCCTGTCTAGACGGCCATCATACAGGTACTTGAATGTATTTGTAGTTTCATCTCAAAGGTGATTCATGTCAATCAAAGTAACTTCCCCTCCCTCTTGCAGTGACTTCTCTTCTTTTATGCACTTGTGTTCACTGGTGCGAGCGCAGGACAAGCTGTCACTCACAGCAATAGACAACAAACCAATGATCCAATCAATTAAAAATCAAGTTCCTCGCTAAACTTTGTCTTGTTTGAGAAGCCGTTTCACTCTGATATATCTCACAATAGGGAAGAATAGACTATCACAACTTCCATTCCATCCTGACCTTAAAGTCTCCATGAAATTAGAATTGACCCTATTTACTTTGTTAGCTCACATTACTAGTCTTGTGGTGAACAATTAATTAACAGTGAAAAAATTAGTTTGTCGTGGTAATCTTTAATCAAAATCTGAACATTCGCTTCCGCTCTGGAACGGCATTCCTTCTCTGATGACGTCAGTTTGACGGCTTGAGTAGAATATCCTTAACCACTCCCCTTCAACCGTCAGTCTGCTATGAGCGAGGGATGGAGAGGAGGTGTGCTAAAATAAAACCGTCCTCTCCTCTATTATGAGACGAGATGATATTTTAACTATTTTTAATATACCTTCAAAAACGAAATAGTTGACTGGAAAAATAGTCTTTTATTCGAATAAAAGTCTCAAAATGCATAACAATGCAGGTGCATTTTGAATTGTTTTAACTAATCTAGGGCTGTAACTAATTATTATTGTGGTAATCGAGTAATCAGTCAATTATTTTGACAATTAATCAAGTAATCGGATAATATTTTTTTGTGGTAATAAAAATAGACCTAATTGAATAATATCCTATAAATTACGTAAAATGCATAAATAACAATGAGGCAATAATAATTGTGTCAAATAACATTTCAAAAGCAAGTAATCATTTGGTTTTATTGAACAACACTGTTAAAATATATAATGTAATATAAACATAATCAACTTGTTGTAACAAGGTTTAAAGGAATAGTTCACTTAAAAATTAAGTTTTTCATCATTTACTCACCCTCAAGTTGTTTCAAACCGGTATGAATTTCTTTATTCTGCTGAACACAAAAGAATATATTTTGAAGAATGTCATTAACCAGACAGTTGCTGGACCCCATTGACTTCCATAGTAGGTAGTGTAGTCAATGGGGTCCATCAACTGTTTGGAACTGGCAAATGTTCAACATGATACTTTAATTATAAAATAAACAAACAACAAAATGAAAGTAAAGCGGCAGCCCCTCATGGACGACTGCCTCATATAAACATATAAATAAAACATAAAGCACAACATAAACAGTCCAGGTCAGGTTCTCTCTCGTCCTTCACTGTCGTCGCTCCTCCTTTTATCCTCGTTGTATGCAAGCATGTAAAAGCATATAAGCGCTGCGCTTCACTCTGAAACCTGCAGCGCATTTATATATTTAATTGAATATAAAATTCAACTCGCCAAAGTGGCTAGTTTATTCGCAATTCATTGTTCACAAGCATGATTTGATATTTTGAAATGCAGAAAGATCCTGAACGACCTTTCATCCGATGCTCCAGCGGTCCCACGGATAGAAGAAGAGAAGTCAGAGGAGGATTCCACTCCAGCCATAACAACCGTTACCATGCCAACGCCCATCTACCAGACAAGTAGTGGGCAGTACAGTAAGTTGTTTGCTTCTCTAGTACAAATACACTACTACTATTATTTTCCAGCTTTTAAAATAGTAACTTGACTCCGTTTAAGTCTGCTAAATACAAATTGAAATGCAAAGGTTGTCAATATTTCAGATAACTTCATGAATATATTGGTTGCATTTAAATCAACCTCATGCCATTTGTTTTCTCGCAGTTGCTATTACTCAGGGTGGAGCGATCCAGTTAGCCAACAACGGAACAGATGGAGTTCAAGGGCTACAAACCCTGACCATGACAAACGCAGCAGGCGCTCAGCAGGGCACCACCATCCTGCAGTATGCACAGACCAGCGACGGGCAGCAGATACTGGTGCCCAGCAATCAAGTGGTCGTGCAAGGTGAGATTTGTCAAAAATAGAAGACATTTCCGTTTTAAGCAAGTACCTTGAATAAAAGAAGGCAACAGATAGAGAGAAGAGTAAGTGTGCTGGTCTAGTTTCTCAGGCTATAGGCTTAATCTATGCCCAGGACACCATCCACACTTGGCATCTAAACATCTCCTTGTCAAACCATAAATCTGTGCTGCTTGTGTTTTTCAGCGGCCTCAGGAGACGTTCAGGCATATCAGATCCGCACCGCATCTAGCACCATTGCTCCAGGTGTGGTCATGGCCTCGTCTCCTGCAATGCCCAGCCAGGGAGGAACTGAGGAGGTCACGCGCAAGCGGGAGGTTCGGCTTATGAAGAACAGGTACGATTAAAACTTATCTGCACAAGTAATTGCCTATGCTCAATATAAGCCTATTTCCCGCTCAAGCCACACATAAAGCTTTTTAATGCGTTAAACTGAAAAGAATTAATCGCATGCATTAACACATTAGTTAGTATTGTGGTAATAACGTGCAATGTTAGTATTGTATTTTGTTCCTATTAAATTATTTATTATTGTTATTATTTTACTTTACAATAATATTATTGTAGTAGCAGGGATTAAAGTTCTTCGTTGCTACGACGGATTTCGGTTAATTGCAGGGTTCCCGCCTGTCCAGCTGTCACTTTTCTTTTTAAGGCAGTAAACAGGCTTACATTTCTCAAATAGTGTAATAAATGTCTTAATTTTAGTTTGAATAGGTCTTAAATTAAGGAAAGACTAGGTGTATTCACCCTGCGGAGGGGGATGTGATCAAAGCCTGGAGTGGAGCGAAAGCACGTTCCTCTCGCCACTAAAGCGTGATGTAATCAGATTACATAAGAGAGTAGTTTTTTTATTTTTTTTTTATTTTTTTATTTTGTCTTTTCTTTCTTCTTTTTTTTTATTTTGTTTTGTTTAAAAGTAGACTTTTCAAGCTTTCTATAGATATATTTCTCATGCCTGTGAAGTAGCCTTTACGCTGAGTTTTGGTTCATTTATGAGATGCAAGTGATCGCGCCGGCGCCTCCATGTCCTGATTATATTGTCTGCTATATTTGCTTCTAATTTATTAAATGATCCTATCTTGCTCATGCTGTTCACTTTTCATATAATCAACATAGATTAAATAAAAAAAAATAACATTATATTATTTAAACATACATATGATGAAAGAGTACCAAAAATGAAAAATGTCATGTAAACTTGAGCAAAGTTGAGCATATGGGGGAGGGGTGCGATTTTCGAATAATTCCCAGCGATCATCAAATATTATTTTTGCTTGAAATGCCTATCCCTACCATAAATGCACTTTTTATTCTGATGATGCTGGTGCTATTAGTTTCCCTCTTCTGTTCAGTGTTAACAGGTTGAGTTAGAACATGCGTTATAATTTCTTATTATAATGCTCTGGTTAAAACTGAATTTATTATTATTATTATCTCCAGGGTATAATGGCTAGGTTAAAAACAGATATTATATTATATATAGTTTGTGATATTAGCTCACTTTGCGGCAAAAGCTCTGTTGGCTTTTATTATTTGAGAAATAAAAACTTAGTTATGCAAATATGCAGTCTTGTAAAAGCATTAGATTGAAAACATTGAAATTTCATAAAAGTGTGTAAATAATAGAAATAAAGTTCAAAATAGCCTTTCTTTAAATGCAAATGTTCTTTGAGTATTTCATTTGTGAAGCTAATGTATGTGCTCACTATACTCCTAATTACAAGAAGGAAAAAAACTGCTCTTAAACTGACTGTGTGTGACAGGCTGTGGAATGGGGTTTGGCCGAGGAAAAATTCTTAGTCAAAATATTTTTTTTTTGGCTCGTTTAATGCGTCATTGCGCTATTCTACGTCATTGCACATGCGCAGTCCTTTCAGTTTCGTTTGTCAATATGATCAAGTGTTTACATGTTCTCTCGATCGGATTAGAAAAGGAATAAAGCACCTATTTCATTCGGATCAAGCTCAATCTGATCGATTAAGGTGTTTACATGAAGGCTTTGCAATGGATTTACTAATGGATTATTTGGGTTAGCGTTACATGTAAAGTGCCAGTGACAAATGCTGTAATGTAAATTGAAATATCGGAAATGTTTAAAAATCATATCACCGTTATTGAAAAAAATTCTATCGCGTTATATATTGATATCAAATTATTGTCCAGCCCTAAGTCAAATTGAATAAAGGAGAAAAAAAACAGGTTTTCCTTTCTTTCTTTTTTCTTAGCTGATCACATGCCTGATTAAAATGCCAGATTTTTTTTGTGTCATTCATAATTGTTTATAGATATTTTTTTCCTGTAACTTGACTTTTACTATGAATACAACCTGTTTACCACCTGTATACCGTGGTCTTCCTTAGAATCTTAACTTAATGGTTTTGAATATTGCATTTTTAGTTTGCATGGCTAATTTGGTGTCCTCTATAATCGCCTGACTGTAATAATGTGTTTCCACCACAGGGAGGCAGCACGGGAGTGCCGCAGGAAAAAGAAAGAGTATGTTAAATGTCTGGAAAACAGAGTGGCCGTGTTGGAGAATCAGAACAAAACGCTCATTGAGGAGCTCAAAGCGCTTAAGGACCTTTACTGTCACAAATCTGAATAATTGTCCTCACGCATACGTGCTGAACGGATCTCTTCTGGTGCCTCTAGAGACAGAGACTCTGAACATACCACAGGCACCTGCACAGCATCTGTCTTTTTTCATTTTTCATTTCTTTTTTTTTAAATATTATCTTCTGTAAAAATCCAGTTAGCAGTAATACATTGTAAGTTTGTACGTGTAAACTTTTTATTTCCCTTTTCTCTTCAGAAGAAAGAGAGTCGGTTTTTCGGAGACAAGAAAAAACGACATGCAGGGTACAGTTTCGTTATCAACATGTTGCCCTACTTAAGGAGCGTTGTGAACCATAAAGAGCACCTTTCTGCAGCTGTGACAGGGAATGAATGTTTGTGTGGGTTTATCATGAAAACAGCCCAGGGTGCTGCTTTGAGACCTGCTCCTGTCACTCTGAGGTTCGCATTTGAAAGACTTTCCCACAATGCACCAGTCCTTGATGGCGCTGCTTGCGAGCATGATTAAAGAGGGATGGAGTTTTTCACTATTGCAGCATGGGTCTTTAATGATTGAGATTAAATCAGCCGTGCCCTCTCCTGTTGTTTAACTGCTTCCGTTACTAATACATAAACTCATATTTTATATACGTGTATATATATATATACATGCATATATATATGTATATATATGCATGTATGTATGTGTATATATATATATATATATATGCCCCTCTGTTATGACATGGATTGATAATGTCATCTACTTTTTTTAAGCAGTGTTCTTTTGTTACAAAATTAAGGAGAAACTCAGTCACATTTGTTAACATAAAATAGCAGATCCTTTGAAACCTGTAATGATAAAATTTGAAAAAGTGTAAAGTAAATGAAATATACTACATGATTTTCAATGAGCATTTGATGGCCAATAATCAGAAAATCGTTTTTTAAACTTGTAAGTGTGCTTATATTGTAATATATTGGATTTCTTCATCTATGCTAGACTTTACAGGTTATTCTAGTGCCATCTACACTGATCAGAGGCTAATTGTGTTGATTCCCTTATATTTTGGGCAAAGATTTTGATATATAATAACTGATCTCTGATTAGTGGAATTTTTTTCATTGCAATGAAATGCTGTTGTTATTCTCTTCTGTCTTTTGCCATGACATGTACCTATCCACAACAACAGAACATACATGTTATTTTAAGTCTTCTTCTTTTTTTTCTTTTTTTTGGTTAAACATTTCTGATTTTACTTTTACGTTTATTTTTGTATTATGTATTGTATTTTTAAGATATGTTGCTTATGTGTAACCTAAATCAGTTATAAAGCATTCTGGTGCAGTCTTTCATCAACAATTATATATTTGGCAGCTGTTCGTAATCTAATGTGTTGAGGTAGTTTTTATTTTCAGAGTTTATCTGTAATGTTTGTGAAGATTTAATATTTGATCTTCACTTCAGTCCGGTTGCTCAGACCAGCAAAGTTCAGTTCAAACCTAGTTCACGCCTGTCTGTAATTATTGGTTAATATTTGGAGTCCAGAAATGGAAATAATCTCTGCAGAAAATTCTGATCAACCTTAAAGCTGCAAAATGGGTTGTGTTCGGAATATTACTATTCTTTAATATACTACTGTTTTATCAGTATAATATCATTCAGTAGTTTTAAGTTAGTACAATTTTTTTTTCCACACACACAAAAAAAAGCTTTTATTCAGCAAGGAATTTATCAAACATGAGTAAAGACCACAACATATTTCTATTTCAAATAAATGTTATTTTTACATTTATTCATCAAAGAATCTTGGAAAAAATGTATCATGGTTTCCACAAATATATTAAGCAGCACATCAACATCGAAAATAAGGCAACATTTTACAATAAGGTTTCATTTGTTAACATTAGTACACAACATTAGTTAACATGAACTAACAAAAGAATGATAATTCTATAGCATTTATGAGCCTTAGTCAATATTAATCTCAACATTTACTAATACATTTTTAAGACCAGAAGTTCTATCTGTTAACATTAGCTAATGCACTGAACAAGAATGAATATTTTTGTTATTATTAACAAAGGTTAATAAATGCTGTTAAAATAAATATATTGATCATAGTTATGTTCGTTAATGCAGCTTATGTTAACAAATGAGACCCTATTGTAAAGTGTTGCTGAAAATAATGAGATAAGTTGAATTGAGAAGTAATGGCTGCTGGAAATTCAGCTTTACCATCACAGGAGTAATCATTTTCTATTTTAATCTATATATATATATAATATGTTAATATATATATATTTAAAATAAATTGTAGGATAATATTTCTCTGTTACTATACTAAAACTATTACTGTTTTTTTTTTATTAAACAAATACAGCCGTGGTGAGCATAAAAGATTTCTTTCAAAAACATTTATAAATCTTACCAACCCTAAACATTTGAGGTAGGGTATATTGTGTTCAGTATGCACATAATACCTGGGTGGCCTATTATATTTGCTTCAAAATAAAAGATCAGAACACTGCAAAAAGATTTTATCCCACAATGGAATGGACTCACCTTCACATTTCCAGAGTGATGAAAGAACTGGAAGTAACCAGATTACTAACTTATAAGATATTTTTACACAAAATTGGGTCACACTTTACATTAGGTGTGTAATGTCCTTAAACGCATACCTCGGGTCTTTAGTGACCCGGGACGTCATTCACTACCCTCTCATTATTTAAAAAAAAAAGTTAGACATCAAACGTATTAATCCCCACCAATTCATTATAAACAATATAACAAGAAGACCTTTTTTTTTATAATAGAATGCCTGTTTCCCCATTCATATTTAGTAAAAATTGTATAGGGTCGCTATAATGACCTGAGGTGTGTAACAGTGTAACTATATTTTTTCTGCACAACAATAATTGAATCTTTGATGACTGAATAAGTGCAATTCATCTTTATTCCCCAAGGTAGCAATGTCTGATATATGTGAAGTGACATTTCACAGTTACCGCAGGCAGAAAACAAAAGAATAGGAAGGATCATCAGCAAAACTTGAAATGGCTCAGGGATTTACTGCAGAGCAAGTACTGAACACAATCAAATATTAGTGTCACTGTCACTTGATGGTGGATCTGGTGAAGAAGCTGTCAACGATCAAAATATTGATTTTGAAAATTATAGTTTTGATAATATGTTTGAGATTGTGAATATGAGCCAGATGCTGAATGTACACTCTAAAAGATGCTGGGCCGTTTCAACCTAAATTTGGGTTTGTATATTTTAATTACATTTTTTGTAATTATGGCGTAGTACGGTCCATATTTTGACCCAAAAACTCAAAACATGCTCTATTTTACAGAGATTTATATCAGGAGAGAGAGATTTATATTATCACGACAGGTAGAGATCCATCCGTGTTAGATATCAGGGTCGATAAAGACCATGTAATAATGATTGGCGAAACATTCATGCATTTAAGGGTTAAATCAAAAAAGTATAATTGTTTAGGTACAATATTTATTGTGTTCATGTTCAATTGCAAAACACATCTGCTGCTGCTACTGAGGTGGGATACGGGTAAGGTTCGGGACAGGTTTGGTGGTATGGTTAAGATTAAATGTAAATGGTAAATGGACTGCATTTATATAGCGCTTTCACAGACCCAATGGCCACCAAAGCGCTTTACATTTTGCCCCACATTCACCCATTCACTCACTCATTCATACACCGACGGCGGTGGGTTAAGTTGTAAGGGAAGAGTCAACAGTAATTATTACAATGCAGTTTTTTTCAAATATAGGCCTAAGTACAATGTAAAAACGTATGTACACAATAGGCGCATAGTGTCAAATGATTAATTAAAAAAAGTTAGATAATATAAAGGAAAACAAATGGATTAAAATGCTAAATAACCATGTTTATTTATGACGAGATCATTAAAATAAACGGAAAAGCACATGCAGCACTATGCCATTTAACATTTTGTAAAATATAGACTATGCCAGACTGTAGCCTACATTTTAAAACAATATCAAAATGCATTTTTTTCAGGCTGTTTATCATTCAGTTAGTAGATGAATGGATTGAAAGAGTGAGATGCCTTGAAATTATGAAGGTTACTTGAACAAATCGGGTGGGCACTGCTTCAGCCATTCAATCGCCTACAGATTGAAAAAAATGAAGAAAAAAACATTGTAAATTGTCAGTGATGGTTAAAGTGCCTAATATAAAGTTTGTTTTAAGAGACATGGAAATCTCAATTTTCTGCTTAAAGAACACCAGATTGCTTTGTTTTTTGTTTGTTGTTGTTTTTTTCTCTCTTTTTTTCTGCAGCAGAACAGCACAGAGCTCCCTGATTGCTTGTATTCTGTTTCTCAGAGCATTTCACCTTCACGGTCAGTGATCAAGGTCTCCAGCAGTCTTTGATAATGGCCACAGGCAAACTTATTCATAAAACTCATTAGGGTATTAAATGGTGCTAAACAGTACCCCATTGTCTATGAATCTGTGGGTTTGATAAAGCAATGGTAAATGGTCTTTGTTTGATGATTATGGACTCCAGTTATTAGCACTGATTTGTTGCAATATCTTGAATGATTAAAAAAGATAATTTGTATTAAGGGTTAATTAAATAGCTTTTTCGTGCAGTCTAGCATTTAATAGTCGTATCTAGTCATTCATCATCTGTTGAGAGTTTTTTGATTCTTTGCTTTGGAAGAAAAGACATTTGTTTTTATGGAATTCTGAAGAGGGTATATGTACTTGAATATCCTTATCTTGACCTGCTCCATCTGACAGGTCTTCTAGCATGTCCTCTCATCAAATGCATGTTTTTTGTTGTTTTGTTCTTTTCTCAATATGTCTGTGGGTTCATTCAAACTTTTTAAAAAGTTCCTCTGTAAATGTAGTAAGCGGCAAGCCACATCTGCCCGTTCTGTCTTTGTATGTGAACAAATTGTAGCAAACATTACAGATTGCCTCTTTTTTTTAAAGTTCAAAAATGAAAATTACTCATTTCATTTCAAACCCATTTAATTTATCTTAAAAACAGAAACGAAGATATTTTTAATGAAACCTGAGATACCGGTATTTCTGTCCCTCCATTGAAGGTCCGTTCCACCAAGACTTGCTTCAAAAAGAGACACAAATCGCTTTATGATGAACAGATTAAATTTAGGCTTTTTATTCACATATAAACATTGATCAATGCACAAACATATAGAACACATCAAATATGGTCCACAGGAGCTCAAACACTTGATTTATATGGATAACTTTCATGATATCTGGATGAACTTTGTGTGACAGAGTGAAAGTTCTGGTGGATTTTCAATGGTGGTACAGAAAACTCAAAAATCTCTCAAGGTTTAAAGATGATCGAAAGTCTTGGGTTTGGGATGACATGAAGATGAGTAAATGATTACCCCTTTTAAGTTGCACCGCCGGCGGGCCCATAGCGATTACATATTTAAAACAGTATACTAAACCTAAATTAATATTGACAAACTATATCATTTGAAAGCTTACCATCTGTAGTTTTTATATTTGGTGATTGATTTTCAAAATAAACTAGACAGAAGAGCCGTAATCTATCA